CATCTATAGTTAAAAAATCTACAAATTCTATATGATCATAATGAGTAATTTGACAAAACCCATGCATGTTAATAATAATGGGGAATTGAACCAATACCACTAACAAAATAGATCGAACCAAGAAAAGCATGCATGTAGTGTTGCACTACAAACAATATTTAATAAATGATAGTTATTAATATTAATATATTAGACGTTGATTAACCATTATTTAAAAGTATGCATGAATGAATCCTAACTATATATTGTAATTTAAATCCCAATAGGCCGATCGAAACCCATTAATTGTTTTAGTTTGTGAGATAGAATGGAGCTGCCAGCTAATAAAAAGGCAGTCCAGTTGAAAATTGTCTGATTAGGTAATGAGTTTAGTTTTGACTTTAGACTTTAGAGGAATATTATTAGGAAAAATCGGAATATTTTTGCACTATGAGACTGGGACCTGTTTATAATTAAATTTAAAAATGAATGGGGTCTGAGTCTGACTCACCGGTAGTACAGTATACTGCTCTTCTTAATTATATTTTCTACGAAATATTAAAGTCAACATAAAATAAAATTAATTACGCCAAATAATAATCGGAAGTACAGAGCAAATAATAATAATATTAATAATAATAATAATAATCGGAAGTGGAAGATACCTTAGCTTGGCTCGTGAAGAATCGGTATTATTATTAATTATATATGGTCAGTCGTTGATATTTTTCTTTATCTAATATTGATTCTCCATGATTGTATCGCACAAGGGCAACAATATTTCTGGACATAAATTAAAGTGCTTCTTTAATTGTTGCATGTGTTTTTACCTTCTGAGAGTTTGTCTTCAAGTGTATGTATATATATACACAGACACAGACACACACACACACACAAGATATGTATATTTTATATACACACACGCATATATATATATATATATATATTCTGCTAGAGTAAGAGTTGTTGTGTAGCCAGGTTCACCTGCCCAATGTCAATGATACTAAGAGCTAGCTTTACTACTCTGAGACTCATTGAAAAGTATCTTCGACAGCCTTGAGAGTGAGGGTCGCAATAGCCCCTACTTTCACTCTGTTCTAGAGAAAGAAAATAGGGGATACTATCTGCCAAAAGCTTGCATAATTGCATGCCCTAAAAGCAAAGGCGAGATATATATATGTAATATAGAAGCCCAACAGCAGGATCGATCAACATGCGTGCAATGCGAGATTTCTTTTAAGAGACGTGGATTAAAATTATGAAAATAGAATTATTTTTTATTTATGTGTATTTTTTGTGAGAAAAAAAATATCGTCACAAATAACATGAAATTATTTGTGACGACATTTATTGTCGTAAATAAATTTAAAATGTCGTCGTAAATAATCATTTTTTCCGCGTTTAGTTTTTGATAAAATCTTAAAAAGATTATTTGCGACGACAAAGAGAAAATGTCGTCGCAAATAACATGAAATTATTTACGACGACATTTGTCGTCGCAAAAAATGGATTAGCATAGCGGTAAAAATCCGCACCATTGAAATTTGCGCACTAAAATTATTTACGACGACATTTACGTTATTAGTGATGACATGGTTATTTTATTTAACAGGGAGTAATTGCGACGACATGTCGTCGTAAAAAATGTCGTCACAAAAACCATTTTTTCTTATAGTGTGAACTATAATCCATGATTCAAATCATAATACGAATACACTAACTAAACACTTCCTTCATAGAGATGAATAAGTAGTTCTATAATTTGGATAGTAATATAGGGGCCCGTTTGGTTCGCTGATTCGAGTTTTTAATTTGAGTTGAGATGTGACGTTATGTGAATGCTTGTTACTGTAATAAAAAAATTAAATGTGACTATTTTTAAAAATTTTTATTGTAAAACTTAAATTTTAAATTCAAATCATCGAAATAAACAGACCTTATAGTTGCATACTGGCATGCTGATTTTAGTCAAACTTATCGCATTCTCTCGTGAAATAGAAAACACGAAATTATAGTGGACATGATGTGTAACTTAACATGATGTGTAACTTGACATGATGTTTATTGACATGACGTGTAACACGAAATTATTTCCCTTGGTTATTGACATGATGTTTGGGTGCTTTCGTCGCAACGCCAGAGATTCTAAAGGAGCGTAATTAAAGGACAGGGAAAGTAATAAAGCGGTATATATGTTTCAACACAAATTTAAATTTGTTTTAAGTCTTTTTTAAAGAAAATATTATAATAAAAAAATTGAACTAAACATCTCAATTCTGAACTTAGTTTAAGGGTGTCAATTTGTATTAATAAGTTGTGTTCATATGAATTCTTTTATTAATTGTGTAAGAAAATATCAACTCAAATATAATTTGTTTATTAAATGTGTTAAAAATGTCAATTTAAACACGACATATTTATTAATCATGTCAACCCGTTTAAATAAATAAATAACTAATATAGTATTGACTTATTTAGTATAGTCAAGACAGATTTAACATGTTTATTGATTAATTTAAATTTTTCTTTAAGAAAAATAAATGAATTTTACCTACTAATATTAAAATTCACATTATTTATATTTAATATGTCATATAAACTTTTATGTTATATCATCATCAGATTACAGATAACATATATAGTTAATTTATGTTAGGAGATCAACTATAACCTAACTCATTTATTAATTGTGTTAATCGTGTCAATTTAATTATAACTCAAACTCATTTATAACAAACTCAAACTCACTAACTTCATATAAATTTCAAATCATGTCGTCATATCACTATTTAGATTGCCAACCCTAACTTAATTTCTTATTTTGCCCCTTGCATTTCCTCAAGTGTGTGTGCTCTATAGAAGGGTACGAAGTACGATGATATGGAGTTTACGATGGCAGAGCTCTAGGGCCTGTTCACTTCGTTGATTCGAGTTGAGATGTGACTTTATGTGATAGCTTTTTACTGTAGTAAAAAAGTTAGATGTGATTGTTTCTGAGAGCTTTTTACTGTAACAAAACTCAAATTCTAAACTTGAATCGGTGAAATGAACGAGGCCCTAGTGTCGAAATAAGTGGATTGGAATCCCTTTATCTAAAATTTAGGGGACGTTTAGAATGAGAATTCCTGTCATGATTTGAATTATGGTTCGTGGTTCGCTATAGTATTTTCTCTCATAAAAAATATACGTAAAACGATAATGGTTATAAATTATGATTCTGAATCTATAAACCAAACGTCTCCTTAATATCAGCTTTGTCCCGAATCATAAATCATCGCTATCTCGTTGGTCAGACTTTTAATATCAGCTTTCTCTCTCTGTTTTTTTTTTCCTCTCTCTCTTATTGTGTTTTGTTTAGTTTTCTCCTTCTGTACTTTCCTTGGATGAATCGCGTGGGAATTATGTCAAGTCATGGAGTATGGAGTTTGTCTCTTTTCAAATGAGATGTGATTTTCTCTTTTGTTCGTTTCCCAAGGGACGGGATGAGATTGATGTCAGTATTGTGAAGGAGATGAGGAGGTTTTCTTTTCTTTTGTATAGTTTGTACCTATTTAAAAAGTTTCGCTTTCTTCAATTAACTCTATTTTTAATATAAAATGAAAACACAAGCTAGACTAATACACGTAGGCTTGTGTGAATCGCGATCGGAATAAAATGTTTTTATGTTCTCGTTTATTTTATTCATTTAGGTTTAAAATTTGAGTTTTACTATTATATAAAAAATTTTAAAAATAATTAAATTTAATTTTTTTACTACAGTAAAAAAATTTTATATAAAGTTACATTTCAATTCAAATTAACGAACTAAACGGACCCTATATATATGTCTAATCAATTAAAAGGTAATGACACCTCATTACAAATAATTAAGACGAGTTTAAGGGAAGTTAAACATTGTTGTCAGTAGAAGATTATTACTCGCGAACTAATCAATTAAAGACTTTTAGAATTAATGCACGAACTCTTAAAATCAAAACGATGATTCAATTAGTACTATAAAAGTAACCTTTTGCTTTGTTTTTTTGTTTTTTTTTTTGGGTGTGGGGGTGTAAATTTGTAAGAAGCTTTCTATTGGATGTAATATACCTACCGATGGTGCTTCTTTCTAAACGTTAATTCACTTATTCTTCTTAAATTAAAATAACAAAAAATATATATGTAAATGGACAGTTTCAATTTTAGCTGTAGCCATATATATATACACGATAACGTTGAGAGAACACGAGATGAGGGGAAAAAAAGAGTAACGTTGAGTATTCATTTTTTTTTTTAACAAAATAAACTAATAAATCACGTGCAAATTTCACACATGAAAAGCAAATTGATTGTTTAAAACTCGAGATTCACACATGAAAAGTAAAGATTATCATTTTTCTAATAAATCACGTGCAAATTTCAAGTTTTAAATTGTCAATTTGATAACAACATCAACTATTAGATTTAAATTACAACTGATTAAAGCTGATGGTATATTTTTCTAAAATTAAAAATTAGGGATCTATTTTACAAAAAACGAATTGGAAAGGAAATTTGTTAAGAGCATTAAAAAGAAGCGTTGCTTGAAGATATGATTGTGATCTAGCTGAGAACTGGGCATCAACATTAACAAATATTGTTTATTTGTCTGATTATATTAATTTCGTAGCTGCTATAAAGTATATATAAAGGCAACGCCCTCCATTTATTGAACTCTCACCGGCCTCTCTCCAAACTACCTGAGTAAAACTTCCATCTCCTTTTTCTTTCTCATCAAAGAAACTTCTTTCTTCTTCTATCTTATCATCTTCATCTCCTTAATTATACCTGTCTACTTTGCCTTCCTTTTGATATTCTCTCTCTCTCTCTCTCTCTCTCTCTCTCTATATATATATATATAGACACATACAATTTGTGTTTACAATTAGTTATAATTAACGTCAAACATAGCTCGCATATGTGTGTCTATTAAGTATAGCTAGAGTCAATTGTCATATATATATATATATATATATATATATAACAATAATAAGTATAATAATATAATAATAATGTGGAAGTTAAAGATAGCAGAAGGAGGGGCATACGTGAGGAGCGTGAATAATCACGTCGGAAGACAACACTGGGAGTTCGATCCCGACGCCGGAACTCTCGAAGAACGTGCTCACGTCCAACGCCTTCGCCAACACTTCAAAAACAACCGCTTTCTTCACAAGCAAAGTGCTGATCTTCTCATGAGATTGCAGGTACTATTATATAATTATATACTACTATTAATCATGCGTATATATACATACATACATACATACATATAGTCTTAATTAGTGAGTCTCTTTGTTACATACATACATACATAAATACGTATATGCATGTTGGATACGTGTGGGAATCTGCGCCTACAACGTCTACAAAATAAGAAGATCACCGAAGTTACCAGTACCACACATATGCAAATCGTTGTGTTACGTATATTCATATTTACAACTAAATGGTCTATATAAATTTAACGAAAGTAAACTAATTACCATTATTATACATGCATTATGTATACATACATAAACTAGCTATATATAGCCCAAAAACATACATCTTGTACTTGTTTTAAAAGGCTATTATCATGCCTAAATCTACCCAAACAAAACAATTACATTTTTTTAGCAATTTTTAAAAATACCCTTTAAAAATGGAGTCCCCTTTTTTATTTTTACCCTTAATATTTGCCATATTTTTTTACCTTTTAGATTAGAACTAGTTAAGAGGTAGAATTATTTAAAATAAGTACTTTTAATAAGTTAAATATTTAAAGAGATAGAATCCGTAATTTTTTTTTAAAATTTTTTATTTTTTCATTCCGTTCTCTCCAACCAAACGGGCTAAGGGGAAAGAGCCAAGCTTCTCTTTGAAATCAGATAATTCATTTATAAAAATTACTAGACCATCCGAGAAATACTTCACAATGAATTAAGAGTGGGGATGACAATCTTACCAATCAGTACCCGTACTCATGAGTACCCGGTAATTCCTAACTTTTATTTGCAAAAATGACTAGTACACTTTTTACCCTGCGCACCTTGCATTTTTATTTGGACCTTGATTAACTAAATTGTAATAAATAATACACAGCTTAGAAAGGAAAATCCATGCGGATCAATTCCACCACCAGTCAAAGTAAACGAAACGGAGGACATAACAGAGGACGCAGTGGCCAACACTCTGAGACGGGCCCTGAGCTTCTACTCCTCTATTCAGGCCCACGATGGCCATTGGCCCGCTGAATCTGCCGGCCCATTGTTTTTCCTACCTCCGCTGGTAATAAATAGGAGGTTTTTTTTTTTTTTTTTTTTTTTTTTTTTTTTTTTTTTTATAGGATGATGATGATTCTAATTAATGTCATCGAATGGTTCAAAACTAGGATATTCTTTGTATAATGTTATTGTTACAGACTGCAATTAAAGCTCTAGTTAGTAACTTCATAAGGATATATAATATTGTATCGTATGAAGTGCAGGTTATATCATTGTATGTGACCGGAGCAGTTAATGCAGTTCTAGGACCAGAGCACCGAAAAGAGATAATTCGCTACATCTATAATCATCAGGTATTTCTGTCAATAAACTCGGCAAATTAACGATAGTTACTTTATTAATTAAGAAGCTACTTTTTGTTTTTATCTTGTATTAAAACAATATAAATGAAGAATGAAGATGGAGGGTGGGGGCTACATATTGAGGGGCATAGCACAATGTTTGGTTCAGCCTTAAGCTACATTGCCTTGAGGTTGCTTGGACAAGGTCTTGATGATGGTGATGACAACGCCATGGAGAAAGCTCGCAAATGGATTCTTGATCATGGCGGCGTCGTTGCGATTCCTTCTTGGGGAAAATTTTGGATAACGGTATTAATTACGACTACATCTTTTTATAATTTGTTAATTGTGTGTCTTAGCTTTTAGAAACTTAAACTTATTAGTACACAATAATTAGTTCTAGAATAATGTTTTGGGGTTTTCTTACATGAATGATATTCATAAGTACGCATCATCTCTGCCGGTTTAGGTGCTGGGTGTGTATGAGTGGTCAGGCTGTAATCCATTGCCTCCAGAATTTTGGCTTCTCCCAACAATTTCTCCCATTCATCCAGGTGCGTACGACATTAAAATCTTATTAAGCAGTAGCCAAAAGTAATCCTAAAAAAAACAAAAAAAAAACAAATTTTGTAGGGAAAATGTTGTGCTATTGTCGGTTGGTTTACATGCCGATGTCATACTTATACGGGAAGAGATTTGTTGGTCCGATCACCAAGTTGGTTAAGTCCCTAAGACAAGAACTGTACAACCAGCCCTATGACCATGTAAACTGGAACAAAGCACGAAACACGGTCGCCAAGGAGGATCTGTATTATCCGCATCCGGTGGTTCAAGACATGCTTTGGGGATTCCTCCACCACGTGGCGGAGCCAATTCTTAGGCATTGGCCTTTCTCTATGCTCAGAGACAAGGCACTCAAAGCCGCAATTCAACACGTACATTACGAGGACGAAAACAGTAGATACCTTTGCATTGGATGCGTAGAGAAGGTAGGTATTACGCACGTACGTACTAATTAATTAATTTCTAACCAAACCAACCAACCAACCAGCTATATATATAGTAATTCTTTCATGGTATTCAAGCTAGCTAGGCCAATAATCCTTATAAATCTATTACTATGTAGGTGTTGTGTTTGATTGCTTGTTGGGTTGAAGATCCAAATTCGGAAGCTTACAAGCTGCATTTAGCTAGAATCCCAGACTACTTGTGGCTTGCTGAAGATGGACTCAAATTTCAGGTACATATATACCTTCTTAATTACTTAATGCTTTTAATATATAGTTATTTTCTTTATAGTTAGTATCTTAATAATACAATGACTCTATTTATATTTGTTATTGTTTACTACAGAGTTTTGGTTCTCAAATGTGGGATGCAGCATTTGCAGTTCAAGCAATTATCTCTTGCAATCTAAATGAAGAGTATGGGCCAACACTTCGCAGAGCACATGAATTTGTGAAGGCTTCGCAGGTTAATTTGGTCTTCGCAGAGCATATATATATATATATATATATATATATACCTGCAACAAATACTTGACGATTGATTTGTTTCTCACTTAATTATGATACAGTATTTAATACTAATTACTTGGTTTCTTAATTACCACTACTTATAATAATATTTTAAAGGTGAGAGAAAATCCTTCTGGAGATTTCAGCAAGATGTATAGGCATATATCTAAAGGTGCATGGACATTCTCAATACAAGACCATGGTTGGCAAGTCTCCGACTGTACTGCAGAAGGGCTAAAAGTAGTATTGAATTTTCTAGATCATGATTCATACATTCTAATCAAGTTTATATATATATATATATATATATTGTTTTTTTAGATAGATGTAATAATTTTCATCACAGTCGTTGCAATACTTTTACCTTTTTTTAAAGGCTGCACTCTTATTCTCACAAATGCCAACCGAAATAGTTGGAGAAAAAATGGAAACAGAACGCTTCTACGATGCGGTGAATGTAATTCTTTCCCTTCAGGTAATTAATGTGATAGAATAACATCACTCTCATTAAAATTCATATAATATTAATTGCTTCATACAATATAAGATGCTGCTATATATAATATAATAATAATAGTAATCTACATTTATAATATATTTATCTTTTAATTACAGAGCAAAAATGGTGGTTTCCCTGCCTGGGAGCCTCAAAGAGCATTTCGTTGGTTGGAGGTACGCAAGCCTTTCAACATGAAAGTGTATATATAGTTATATATATGTATCTCCTATAAAAAAAAAAAGGGGAAATTGGAAAAGGCAAAAAAAAAGGGTGTTAATTAGTAAATGAGCATACTGAATAACAATTATCGTTACTGTTTTAATTTGCAGAAATTCAATCCGACTGAGTTTTTTGAGGACACCCTAATTGAGCGAGAGTACAGTACTTTTTTCTTCAATCCTAAGATTTTTTTTTGTGAAAGGATCTCAGTCCAAGATTATTATATATAATTAGCTAATTAATACAAGATGAGTTGTTATTACCACAGATTGATATTGATATTGATAGTTTGGTAACTTTAATTTAGGTATGTAGAATGCACTTCTTCTGCAATTCAAGGTCTGGCAATGTTCAGGAAATTATATCCAAAGCACCGAAGAAAAGAAATAGATAGTTGCATATCAAAAGGACTAGGTTACATTCAAGACACACAAAACCTTGATGGTTCATGGTAACGTCTGGTTAATTATTTTCATCAACTATAAATATTTTCATACTTAATTATGATATGAAATTAATGATATATATATATATATATACACAACTGATCATATTGTAGGACTGGTTGCTGGGGAATATGCTACACGTATGGTACATGGTTTGCAGTGGAAGCGCTAGCAGCGTGTGGGAAGAGCTACAACAATTGTGTTAGCTTACAGAAAGCTTGTCAATTTCTGCTCTCTAAGCAGCTACCCAATGGTGGATGGGGAGAAAGTTACCTTTCTAGTCAAAATAAGGCATGCACGCATCTTCAATATTATTATATTACCTAATAATTAAAAGGAATTAGCAAATTAATTTAGTAATGTTGTATAATATTATGCTATTAATTAATTATGCTTCATTAATTTGAAGCAGGTTTACACAAATTTAGAAGGCCACCGAGCAAATTTGGTTCAGACAGCTTGGGCATTGTTATCCCTCATCAAGGCTGGGCAGGTGATCTCAACCGATCGGTTGTAAATAAATTAATTAAGCTGATAATTAATAAATACTACACGTTAATTATTATCATCTTGGTTAAATTATATATAATGATGCCAACCTTTTACTAATCATGACTGTTTAGGCTGATATAAATCCTACACCCATACATCGTGGAATAAGAGTGTTGATCAATATGCAAATGGAAGATGGTGACTTCCCTCAAAAGGTACTTTCATAATACCACAGAAATACAAATTTTTAGCCTAAAATATTGTAACTAAATACAGTTCTAGTGACATATATCTTAAATTGATTATGTGTTTACACACAAAATATCAATGATAACGGTAATATCTGTCACATTTGAAATGTCATTGGTTTAGTAACATTTTATTATACGTGTTTACTAAATAATGTTACTAAAATATAAAATTTACATTTCAAAGTGTCGCAAAAAGTGATTATTACTTCCTTGAGGAAGGTAATTAATTACGTATTATATTGCGTTAATGTTGCATGCAGGAGATCACAGGAGTGTTTATGAAGAATTGCACGTTAAACTACTCATCATATCGAAACATCTTTCCAATATGGGCCTTGGGAGAATATCGTCGCCGTCTTTTATTTGCTTAACCTACCTTTATTTATGTATCATTTGAAAATGGCTACTGTATACATATATACATATGTATAATATATGGTGTAATAGTATTTCTTTAGCAAAGACTTGGGGTATATTTTTATTTATTTTTACTTATTATGGTATGTAATATTCTATCTCTTCAAAAGAAGGAGATGGATAGATGTGAGACATTTGTCGTAATTACATTATATAAGGATGAAACAAGGGTTTTCCTTTATGGTTTGGAGCAATTTTTTTGGGTTAAATTATAAATTTATTTAGGTGTAAATTACTTTATTATTCTCTAAATGGTGATACATATGAGTTAAAACGCATATATATCCAAATATTTCATGCAACTTACAATGTTATGCGGATCAATTTTGAGTCAAGTTTGTGACGCAAGACCACTTGTCTAGTATACGTCTTAATCAGAAATGAGTATGAATATTAAGATCTCGTTCAAGTTGAGAATTTAAATTAAAAAGTAAATTAATGTGAAAAAAATATTATAATAAAAAAAGTTAAATTTAAATTTTTGTGAGCGAAAATAATGTAACAAAAACTTGAGTTGTAATTCGAACTAGCTAAATGAACGAAGGCTAAACATGTCACGTAAATCTTTTTATTTCATACCATATGAAATTTTTTGTAGTTATGTAATAAGAGTGTGATTGTTTATGTTAAACTTTAGAAATTATTCTTTAATTTTAGCGTCAGTGATCAAAATTTTTAGAAAAATAAAAATTCAAGAAATAATCTGCCGAAATTAAAAATTCTAGGATTAAATTGCCATAATGCTCATATGTTTCACAGTATGAGCAACAGTGGCTTATGGGCTTACTGGCCCAATGTGGTAAATCTCCTGGGCTGTTGAATTTTGGGCCGAATCCCTGAAGTTAGAGAGCTGAGGAGTTGAACGCCACTACTTGGTCTGTCTACCACACTCGACATTTTCTCTCGCCGCTGCTGCTTCTCTCTCTCTCTCTCTCTCTCTCTCTCTCTAAAGTGGGAAGGAATTTTTCGTGTTATTCTCCTCGTTCAAGTTGAGAATTTAAATTAAAAAGTAAATTAATGTGAAAAAAATATTATAATAAAAAAAGTTAAATTTAAATTTTTGTGAGAGAAAATAATGTAACAAAAACTTGAGTTGTAATTCGAACTAGCTAAATGAACGAAGGCTAAACATGTCACATAAATCTTTTTATTTCATACCATATGAAATTTTTTGTAGTTATGTAATAAGAGTGTGATTGTTTATGTTAAACTTTAGAAATTATTCTTTAATTTTAGCGTCAGTGATCAAAATTTTTAGAAAAATAAAAATTCAAGAAATAATCTGCCGAAATTAAAAATTCTAGGATTAAATTGCCATAATGCTCATATGTTTCACAGTATGAGCAACAGTGGCTTATGGGCTTACTGGCCCAATGTGGTAAATCTCCTGGGCTGTTGAATTTTGGGCCGAATCCCTGAAGTTAGAGAGCTGAGGAGTTGAACGCCACTACTTGGTCTGTCTACCACACTCGACATTTTCTCTCGCCGCTGCTGCTTCTCTCTCTCTCTCTCTCTCTCTAAAGTGGGAAGGACTTTTTCGCGTTATTCTCTCTCATCAAACCACAACAATGGCTGACGAAACTAGCAGAACTGTAAGTTTCTTTTCTTTTTTCTTTTTTTTGTAAATTTCATTTTCCGACCATGACTTTCTCGACTGCCAAACAGATCCCTAGTTATGCATATGTAATTTATGTATGTTAAATAATACATTAGTGGAAATTGACAGGCATTCATGGAGATTCAAGGTCGGATGATAGAGATCACCGCCAAACTCAAGCAGGTATCTGTCTTCTTCTTCTTCTTCTTCTTTGTCATGTAATCTTTTTGGTTTGGTTTAATCTGTGATCTTCGAATTTCAAATTGGGAAGGATGAATGAATTATTAAATTAAGAAAAATGAATTGTTTATGTGACTGAATCAGGTGCAGAACCAGATGAGGAGCAAAGAAGGTGAAAAGAAGCGCGCTTTCTTAACCTTGGAGGAGCTTCGCCACTTGTCCGATGACACCAATACCTATAAATCTATTGGTATTCTTTTTTTCTTTTCTTCTTCGTCTTTGTCTTTGTTATCGATTCGATTCTCAAGTGTATTTCGCTATTTCAGAATAATGCATTTCCATCCTATACGAGGTTTTTTTTTTTTTATGGTTTAAATTATTTTTCTTTTAGTTCTGTGTTGGTGGGTTGGTTTTATGAACTTCAAATCACATTAGGACCAAATATATGTGTGTGAATCGAACAAAATTTTGATGAAAATATGACAGTTCCGTAATTGTGCAGTATCGTTGTAGGGAATTCTCCTGATTTGTTATCTTTTCGATTTGATCGTGGTTTCCTTTGATTTCCTCTGAATCTCATGTGCTAGTTTGAATGAGAGACTGCCTTTTCTATTTGTGAATCTTGTGCTGCTCTTTTTTGACTCCTTTTGAGGGTTCCTATTCCTTTTTTAACTTGTATTTTTCTCGTGGTTTTCAGGGCGAACGTGAGTTCCGAATTAACAACCGCAAAATTATGCAGATTTCATAGCTTTTTTTTTTTTTGCTTGCTATTTATTGGCTGCAGAAGCCTGCAGGTAATATACGCAGATGACAATTCTCTAATCGAATCATTTCTTGGTCTCTCTCTCTCTCTCTCTCTCTCTGTCAATTTGGTGGGCAGGTTCGTTTTAGAGCCCAAGGCAGTGTTAATGAATGAACAAGAACAGAAGTTCAAGGATAGCGAAACCGCAGTTTCCTCATTGCAGGTACACCTATGATCTGAGGACTGAGGACTTGTATGTCTTTCCTTCCGCATTTGTTTTGTTTTTGTTTTGTGTGATAGAATTTTTAAATATTTAACTTTGTGGGGATTTAGAGCTCAAAGGAGTATTTAGAGAAACAAAAGGCGGAAGTGGAGAACAACTTGAGGGAGTTGTTGAGCCAAGATCCAGGCCTTGCTCGTCAGATAATGTCCATGACTGTCATGTGAACCACAACCCACCCTTACATTTACATTACAATGTTATAGATTTCTTCGTCACTTGTGTTTCATTATCATTACACACTCCTCTTGGCTTTTTGGGCAAAGTAAACACAACAGCATTAATTCAAAGAAGGGCAATCAGGCTTTGTGTTATTCGACCCTGTACCTTCTTTATTGTCCATGTTGTGGGTGGTACTAACTCTTTGGTTGCTTACTGCTTTTGATATCTCAGTTACTCCAAGCAAGTAATCAGTTACTTTTAGATGGAGTGTCATGTTATCAACAAATCTATTTTTGTGTTTAAAATGTTTGGTTTTATGTGTGTTGCAAGCTTAGACTAACTGTAAGTAAATTCACGTCCTGCCTCCTGCGGCTGCGACAGCATTATACATTTATACATAATGAATAACTAGTATGAATGAATGTATAATGTTGTCGTAACTACACTCATAATTCGGCTGCGACAGCATTATACGTATAATGCGGCTGTGACAGCATTATACATGTCGTGACTACACGGCATACATAATGAATGTATGACCCCCTCCCAAAGTCACTGTCAATGTCTTAGGTTGGTAAAGCCCAACATTAGAGCTAACTTACCACATGAGCATCTTGGATCATGTTGCTAATTATCTCCGTCTGGTTTAGGGTAGTCCAGTCCATGCTATGCTATAAGAATTTCCATTTCTTCCACTTATCATGTCCAAGACCCAATCAAAATGTAACTAATTCCATGTTCAATTTTGCCCGCCCCCTCCTCAACATGATATATATCCTCATTATTAAAGGCAACTATTGTTCGAATTAATATGAATGCTAGCTACCAAAGGAATTATTAATAATAGTCAATTCATACGAAGAAAAAAAAAAAAAACTCACCAAATATAATATAGTTTGTGGTGGTACTGAATTCCATAGAAATTGGTCTCGTGAATATTATTTTAATTGAAAATAGATCATTGTTTTCTCAATCAACTAAAATTTTTGAACAAGAATTTTTTTTTTTTTTTTTTTTTTTAAAAAAAAGGGGAAAGAAATGAGAGCCTTCCGTCGCCATGGAGTTTAATGTTGTCCTTAGCTTCATGTCCCGAATAAAATACTGTCCCACCCATAAAATAATGACACATTATCATAAAAATAATTAAAATAGTTTAAAAAAAAAAAAGCTAAGAGTGAACATAGCAAATGACCATTTTCCCCAAAAAAAATAATAAATAAATAAATAAAGCAAAGGACCAAAATAGTGTTTGTGTATTCATCTATCTCGATACAAGTCTTTACCATTAATAGCAAGTGGATTTCAAAGCTTAATGCCATATGTAATGCGTAATTAATGTAAACAAAGCGAGGAAATAACTAACTAGTCTAGTTAATTAAATTGGTCAAAAGGCCTATAAAGATTGTCCAAAGAGAAGCACATCTCATTTAAGTCAATAACTATCCTTTGTTATTATTATACACAGATCTCTAAGGACATGACCGTAATAAAGTAGTAAGTCTAAGGCCAAATGAATAAGGTGGTCAAACGCCTTCGAGAAGAGGACCAACCGCGTTGGTTCTGTTTGGCGGTTTCTTCTTCTTCTTCTCTCTCTCTCTCTCTCTCTCTCTATTATTATTCTTCTCCACTCTCTCTCTCTCAGTCTACTTTCATCATTATCATCATCATTTTTCTCAGCTTTATCATTGCATCTTAAAAACAAACAAAAACACATAGAGAGAAGAAAAAGGCAACAACTTGATTTGTCGACAACTCACAAAAAGAGAAACCCAACAACGACAGATCCAATGAAAAACCGAATCCGGATCCGACATTCTATCGCATTTTGAAGATGAAATGAGAATGTGTATTAGGGATTAATCTTCCTTTCTTTGTTTTGTGTTGTGGGTTGTGAAGTGGATATTGAAAAATTGAAAATTGATGGGGATTTGTTTCAGTATTGAAGACGACCTTCACAGCATTCCAGGTTTCTCTCTTAACTCTCTTTCTTTATCTTCTATCCTATCTGTCAAACATTAACTAACTCATTAATGCCTCAGTTATTTATATCTTAACTTCACTTGACTTAATTAACCATGGATCACCAAATATCTCTTTTCCTAAGCAAATGCCAAATTGGGGTTTTTTTTTTTTTTTTTTTTTTTGGGGGTGGTTGATTAAGTAAATGCTTGTGCTTGCATTACATTGATCTAACAACTAAATTTGCATTAGACTGGCCAAGAATGTAACGTAAATGGTTAGGCATTTATTTATGGGAAGTAAGTTTGTGGATTCATTTTGTTTCCATTTAAAGACTAATACAACAAGCATTGATTATAATTAACACTCATCTAACTCATACATGTATCACTTAAACACTTCTTTTAACTGCTTTTTGCTACTCTTCCTTTTTGCCTTTTGGAAAGAACCAAGTTATGGCCTTTTTTCTAATTCTGTCATAAAAAATAATAAATGAAGTAGGAGTAGGAGTAGCAGGTGGTGGTGGTATTGGTACAACACCAAGAGCAGATAAAACCCCAAGATCCAGCAGCAGCAGCAGCAGCATTCCATTAGCTCCGAGAAATGTGGGAGATCTACGCCAAAATCCTGGAAACAGCAACCTTGACATCTTCACGTATGAGGAGATGAGGTTGGCCACCAAGCGTTTCCGCCCTGATTTAGTATTGGGTGAGGGTGGATTTGGCGTCGTCTATAAAGGAGTTATCGACGACAATGTGCGTCCGGGATACAAGACCACCCAAGTTGCCATTAAGGAACTTAACCCAGAAGGCTACCAAGGTGACAGGGAATGGCTGGTAAGTATATATCTTACTTATCTCTTCTCTAAAGATGCATATTTGGTTGTACGAGTAGTATCTGTTGAAGAATTTTCATTTCCCCTTCTTTTGCAGGCAGAGGTTAACTATTTAGGACAGGTCAGGCACGATAATCTTGTTAAGCTTATTGGATACTGCTGTGAGGATCACCATAGGCTATTGGTCTATGAATACATGGCAAGCGGCAGCCTAGAAAAACATCTTTTCCGCAGTAAGTGAATGATTCAACTTCCAATTTTCTGCTGTTACAGGAAATTGAGGGCTTACTTTAGACTATATTATCATTCAGCAACCATGCAAGGAGTACATTCTATCAATTTTAGGCAAAATAGTTCGCTATAAATTATTTAGAAGAGTGACATTGTACTTGAATAGTGATACCCTTTTGTTTTCCCTGCTACTATCTTATGGAGGGTGACTTGTATTAGGGTATAACTTAGTATTCTTCTCTCTGATCATTGCCCTTGCAATTTTGACGGAGCGTCAATGATGCAATGATAAGAATTGAAGTACACTGCACCGGTATAGGCTCATAATATTTGTTTTTGGATGGTAGGAGTGGGCTGTACACTGACTTGGTCAAGAAGAATGAAGATCGCTCTGGATGCTGCAAAAGGACTTGCTTTTCTTCATGGTGCGGAAAGACCTATCATATACCGTGACTTCAAGACGTCAAACATCTTGTTGGATGCGGTGAGTCTCTCGCTATTCAGTCTTATCTATTGCATAAGTGATGCATTTTATTTGAGTTGCCATCGGGAAATGAAAGGTAAAAGATTATTAACCTCCTTAGCATCACCTTATTTATCTTTCTATCTTGCTGAAAACACGTGGAAAACCTGCAGGATTTTAATGCAAAGCTTTCAGACTTTGGCCTTGCAAAGGAAGGGCCTATGGGGGACCAAACACATGTTTCAACGCGGGTGATGGGCACGTACGGATATGCCGCTCCTGAGTATGTAATGACTGGTGAGTTGAAGAGTCGTTCTGCTGCTTACAAAGTAGAATTCGGTCTGTTGAGGTCTGTTGCCACTGAATTGATTGGACAACTGAAAAGATTTGTTGTTTTAAAATAAATTTCTTTCCCATTTTAAAGGTAATATTATTGATCCTTTTGTCTTTCCCTTATTAGTAAGTACTATTTGAAGAGGAAGTTTATTTAGGCCCCGTTCATTTCACTGATTCGATTTAAAATTTAAGTTTTGTTACAGTAAAAAGCTCTCAGAAACGGTCACATCTAACTTTTTTACTACAGTAAAAAGCTCTCACATAAAGTCACATCTCAACTCGAATTAAAAACTCGAATCAACGAACTAAACTGATCCTTAGTTGTCTTACCAGCTCACAAATTAAGTCCATTTATCCAAACAGGACATCTAACAGCTCGGAGCGATATTTACGGATTCGGGGTAGTTTTGCTCGAGATGCTTATTGGAAGGAAAGCTATGGATAAAAGCAGACCTAGCCGAGAACACAACCTTGTTGAGTGGGCGCGCCCGCTTTTGAATCATAACAAGAAGCTTCTAAGGATTTTGGATCCCAGGCTGGAAGGGCAGTACTCAGCTAAAACTGCAATGAAGGTGGCCCATTTGGCACATCTGTGCCTTAGCCAGAACCCGAAAGGCCGGCCTCTCATGAGTCAGGTGGTTGAAATCCTAGAAACTTTCCAGGTAAAGGAGGAGAACCAGGAAGAAGCAATGCTTCAAGGCGGAGGGAACGGTATAACCCTTTATGAGGCTCCCAAGACGGCCCCTGCTACTTGTGTCGAGAAGAGAAATTGGAATGGTGGTGACGGTGAAAAAAAGGCAGATAATAGAAATTTGTACAATAGTGATGGTGTAAAGGTTGTGGAGGTGGGTGGAAAGAGCAAACTGGGAAATGGAAGGAGCAAGAGTGAACCTCCAAACGAGTTTGATTGTCGTATCCAATCTCCGGAATATGGTTTTGGTGAGAAATCAGCTTCCACGAGAAGCTGAACTTTGTACTAAAAATGGATAGAGGTTGAACTGTACAAGATCCCTCAGCTGGTCTATCCATTCGTTTTGTTTTCATTTTGATATTTATTCTTGTTACCGTAATGAAATTTGAGATTTTTTGTTGAAGCAAGTTCAGAAAGAGTATCCTCCTGTGCCAATGTGTTCTTGTGAGTGGGCAGAGTGCTCTGTGTTGATTTAGCAAAAGTCCATAAAGAAATCTTTGGCCAGACCGTAGCAAATGACCGGCCTCACTTCCTGTTTTTGTCCCTTTTTTTTATTTTATTATTTGTTATTTTTTGGGGTTGGGGGAGAGGACAAATAAACCTTAGATAAAAGGTTATTGGGTAAGAGGGGAAAAAACGAAAAGAAAAAGAAAAGAAAAGGCTATTGGTTGACACAAACAGATGTGGTTACAACAAACAATTGTCATGCTTTTTTTTTTTTTTTTTTTTTTTTTTTTTTAAAATGCGTAGTCTTTGGAAAAGCTCTAAGTTGGAACTAAAGTTTAGTCAAAGTACAAATTCAACATAGCAAAGAACGAGGCGTGAAATGCACTCAAACTGACTTGTTTACAATAAGAACAGCTACAGCCTACTGGTTAATCATCATTACGGCTCGGGAAAAGCTTAATCTGAAAAACGAGATCCTCTCCAATCGCCGCTTCGCGAATCCGATGATTGGCTGACAAAATGAACCTCATCTACATACAGTTGTGAATCACCAACATCATAAGATAATCAGGATCATTTTCCTACAATATATGCAAACTCATTGTTAGCAACACATTCCCCTAATGCAAACATTTAACGCAAGAATCTCTCTTACTCTTACCCCATATGTGGTGCAACTTCACTGCTATTTGACTGACGGATCTTTTCTCCAAAGGACTAGAAAAGTCCATGTTCACAGCCTCCTGAATCGCAGATAACAGCTTTTGCCTTGCTTTTGCCGTCAGGACAAGGCAGTTCGGTCCATGAACTGTGCTCAAGTCGACAACCTACAATTGAGATGGAATAGCATGACCGTCTAGTTAAATGTTTTCATGAAATGTTGGAACGAGTATTTCTAGTGCACACACATAAAAGCACGGTGGGTGCCAACTATTAGCAAGAGAGAAACCTACAATAAAAATTCAACCTAGAAACTACTGATCACAACTTCGAAGTTCAAACATGCAATTTAAAGGGATCAAATAGGAAATGATATTCTCATGCATGAAACTATAACAAAATATACTATCGACCGACATTTATCAAATTTGAAAGTCAAAAGAAATGGTTTGATCCTCTCATTTTTATTTCTCAAACCTAGAGATCCATGAATCAGGATACTAATCCATATGCATACAAATGGTTCATGAAGAGCAAGGATTTACAGGAACATTTCATGATTTAGAGAGAACAAAAGAAATACTTGCCTGCTGCAACCAAGGGAGTATGGAAGTTGTAAATTTCTGTTCTCGAAGATATGAAGCCAAAATACTGAGAATATCGCCTGCAGTCTTGGATGACAAACACTCTAGAACCGGACCAGTTCTATCAAAAAGTTCCATCAGAACAAGCTCGTCACCCGAACAAAGAGCTTCACCATACGCAGAGTCGAGGTCCCCTTCACATAGAAAACCTTTCACACGTTTCCACATGTTATTTTTACTTTCAAAGCTACTTTTTCTGGCTGTTATACTACTAGACGCTGAACCAAAAATAGGATCACTCCTTACTTGACCACAACCAATCCTCCGTGTCACCTGCCTCGGATTTTTCTTGTTGTCCACCCCCGTTGGGTTCCTAGTGATTTTCATCTTACTATTAGCCCACATCTCTGTACCCTGTTTAGTGTTTTCTAGGCTTCTCTCCAGTGCATTTACCTCCCAAGTTTCATTACTCTTCGAAGACAAAAATGAAGGCTGCCTATTGCGGATATCTATAGATGGCCTAGGAGTGCATGTAGAGAATCTTGGTGAATTCAAGAATTGGTTTTGCTTCAACAACTTGGAGGTTGCTAAACTCGAACGTTCCTCCCGGTGTACAACAAGGTCCTCAGCTATCCTATCCACTACATCTTCTAAACGTACCACCCTTGATTGTAAAACAGACAAACTATCCATTATTCCAGTTGTAAACACCTGTGGAAAAGGCAATGTTGGAGATATAAATCAGAATATAAAAGCGACCATTATTGTAAGATGTACAAGAAAACCAACACCATTGCATAAGCAGATACTGAACAACCACAAGCCTTTTCTTTTCATAAAACGAAGGAAGAGAGAGTTAGAAAAACTCGGGTAGGATAAGAAGGGTTAAAAGGGATAACTAGGATATGTAAACTCCAAAAAAGAATTAACTGGTAATGTTAAATGTTTATCTAATGCTACCATAAATGCGAGTTATGATGGCATTATAATTTACAAATTACATCTTGGTCAATGCAAAGAAAATCTTTAAAGGGACTCCAGGGTGTTTGATATAAGGTAATGAGGTCGTTATATATAGAAGAATAATTTGTGCAAACGAATAATGCTCCATATGAGTTCTAAACAATGGCAAAGCAATGAACATAGTTATTCCTACTCTGGTTTTACCTGCAAAAGATCCACTAAATTTGACTGTTTGTCCTCGATCTGCAAAAGTTGCTTTCGGATGCAAACCATTTCATTTGTGATTTGCGAACAACATCCATGTGAACCTGGGAAAACAGCCTCTGATACAGTTGAATCGAGGCTCGTCCGGTCATGAATCTTTCTGGAGTACATTTGTTCCTCGCTACAAATCTCTTCAGATGCAAACCGCTGATCTCCTTCCATTGCCTTCAGCAAGCCACCTTGGTCAAGATCCTCATGAGTAACTTTCACATGTTTGGTCTCAAAGTTACCGTTGACAATATTGGACACAGAAGAACACTCTTGTTTGTCATCTAAATGGACATATTGATATCCAATGTCCTTCATGCTTGTGATATCAGTACTCATTCTTTCAAAAGTCTTGGTGACAGAGCTACCCTCGGATTCTTCATTGTTAAGTTCCGCTAATGAGATAGTATGAGTTTTTGGGAGAGCAATTTCAATGCGCCAATCATCTTCCTTGGATTGTTGAGGATTTTCAACATGATTTTGACTTTTCTTTCTGACAGACAAAGGAATCCTTCCCTTGGTGAAACTCGTACTGACTTTCTTAAATGCAACATCTTTCCATCCAGATTCGCTTGCACTTGTCAGATCATTATAGTCACCCCCACAGAAATTTTCTGTAGAAATGCGAAGAAAAAGTGTATTACATGAGAAGATATTGCAACGTTGTTTTTTCAAAAACAAAGTTTTTTTTTTTTTTTTTTAAGAAAAAAAGAAAAATCACAAATAGAGTAGCAACGCGCGTCAAGACTAGAAGATCACAATCTAGCTAAGCTGGCATCCAAACTTTTAATCCATCATACACCTTAGCTTCATTAAAATTAAACAATATATATATATATATATATGGACGAGTTATACGTATAAAAGTTCTTACAACTCAAAAAGAGCAAATGGAAACTGAAAAGCACTTGGGATATTAATAAGCAAAAAGCCACAAAAAATATAAAGGGGATCTATTCTCATTTCCCCCAACAGCAGAGGCCTCATCAAGATCTTAATTTGGTAAGGGAAAAAAATCCTAAAAGGGAAAAGGCGAGCATGATGATATTGCAACCAAGTAGATAAAGGAAGCATACGCCATAAAATGAGTTTACTAATTAGCCACCACATGACAATGTTTAGAGTCTGTACAATATTATACAGGTCGAGCGCACCTTGGCCAACCGAACCTGGTAAATTATTACCAAATTACCACTAAATCTTATTGTGTGCATTATTTAGATAAGTAATGCGTGCATTGTTTTTCAACTATAGTTTATATAAATATTATAGTACTCAGGGATTGCTACACGAGTAGTGACATTTATTATGCTGCCTTCCCTGTACTTAAACATTTCATTTGTACTTAAAATCCTCCACTAATTTTAAGAGCAAATATAGATCTTTTAGACTAGCTACGTGCCTTCAAAGGAAATGAACAAATTCAGACAAAGTATGGTAAGACATTTAAGATCAATAATGCTTTAGATTTTAAGCAAAGAACAGGGGGAAAAAATGAAAGAAAAGGAAAGAAACCAGCACAATAGAGTGCAGGGAATTTCAAATGTAGATGAAACCTTTAATAGAAGAACCCGCTTCTGAGGGTTCTGGAGTATCAGGTCCTGGAAGAGTTCTCCAGCACTGTAGCGAATGCAATACAGTGTCTCTGACGGGCTTCACCTGTAAGAATCACATGAATCATGTAAGAAGATTTTGTTAAACTATTTTCAATAAATGAACATATTCCAAAAGCACTTCTTGAATTGACACAAAGTCACAAACCTTGTCGAAGCGACACGATTCAAGGGATCGGATGCAGGATGCCTTGCATGATCCTAAGAGGGATCCCCCGCTTGAAGCTATCTCCCCTAATGCCATAGAAGCCGCTTTACGTGTTGACCAGTCACTGTTTTTAAGAGATTCTTGAATGCTAGACATTGCAGCAGATAGAGTGTTTTGTGTTGGGGCTCCCCCGGCCTGAAGTAGAGACGGTCCAAGCACACAGTTAGAAAATACATACGTGGAAGTATAACCGTACATGAAAACACAATGAAACAAAAACAATTTATTTAGGCATCAATAAGCTACTTGGCAGTTTAATAGCCTCTTAACACTAACACTTCCATCCAATTTTTTCCTTTCCATAGACGGCAGCATTTCGCAATATTTTGAAAGGCAAAAAATTTTCTTAAAGGCAAAAAATTTTCTTATGTTCTTTTCATATTTTTGATAATCTGTGCAATAAGAAGACATATTAACATTATTCTTTGGCGCTGCTGGTCAAATTCCAAAGCCATCTCATATTTTTGTATCATCAGCATGCTACATTAAACCAATGGCTGCTCCTAAGCAGAGAGAAAACAAAAGCAACAAACTTTAAATATAGAATGAAAACCGAGAAAATGTAAACATATAGGACAGAGGAGAGATCTAATAAGACCATGATAAGATCAAGTCAGACCTGGATAATACTTCTATTCAACTCGATAATTGCTGGTTTTGCCATAAAATGCTGATTCTTAAGCAACTTGGTGGTTCGAACCAAAATCCTTTGCAAAAGCGAAACTGGGGGATCATGAGTATTGTCAATAACCCTTGCCAAGCACAATGCTGAACCCGCTTGCACATGCTTGTTTTGTTCACCTAATGCTTCGAAAAGCGGTCTCACTAGCGTAACAAAGATCCTGTCACTCTCACCTTCTCCACTACTCAATTTTGAAGCCAGAACTCCCATAGTTTCCACACAGGTATCCCTCACAATGGAGTCCGGATCTTTGAGCCGCTTGACAATGCTAACAACCATCTTACTGAGATGCGGCGCCATCAGCCCCTCATGATACCTTACAAGCGAGCCCATCAGTCTAATGCATTCCTTTCGAACTGCACTCTTTTGCTCCGAGTCTGTGTCCAATATACACGACAAAAACGGGGCAATACCATCAGGAGTTAAGCACTCTGCCGTCTTGTCAAGCTCATCCGCCCCAACCTGGTAAGTATCTCGATCCGCTAGCTTGTTCAGAGCAATAACCACTTTGTGTTTGAGCTCAAAAACCACTTGCTGTGCACTTATCCTAACGGATCCTCTTCCTTTTACTTGCGCTGCATTGGCCTTCATCTTGGCTTGTATCTTGTATCTTAAAAGACCCCAAAAGTCCCAATTGTACAAAACTCGTGCCTTTCGAAAATTTTACAGATTGCTGACTTAGTTAACAGGCCAAGGAGGGTCGAAACCGCTTGCAAGAGGAAGCAACGAAAAAAAAAGATTGGTTTTGTTCTTCAAGATATCAAAATCCTACAAAAGGGCAGAGTAGATTCAGTTGAAGAAAGTAAACCAGACCAGATGAAAATGCTGTTTCACTTGTAACGGATATAAAACTCCATTTTGGTCCCTAAGTGAAGGGGGGAAAAAAACAAAAAAAACAAAAAAAGAGGCCAATATAGCACAAAAATTTGAAAAACTGAAGAAATTTTATCACTGAACTTTAGTAAAGTAAACCTAGTAGAAGTGTTAAGCTTTTTCTTGTTTAGCTTTATTTTCAAGGATAATATTGAGCACACAATTGAAGCAGAAGCAGAAGCTTGGAGTAAATGTAAGAAAGTCGGAATATTTTCTTCTCTAAACAACCTTATTTTGTTCTCTTTTCAACTTAACAATATTATTTTAAAACTGAACCTTTTAGCTTAACAGGTAATAATAACAACAACAACAACAAATAAACTGTTAAAAACACAAAAACAAACAAAGCAGACTTACAGAAATTATTATTATGTGTTTGATTCCTGAATGACGAAAGTCGAAGAAGACGACTACGACGACGACTTCAAGAGCATCACCAAAGTCGAAGACGAAGACAAATGGAAGAGATCCATCATATCTTCCATTATTATTATTATTATTAATTATCTTCTTCAAATTTCTGCAGTTTTTTTTTAATTTTACTTAGATTAGAGAAGATATGAATTTGAGTGTGGATATATATATATATATAGGAGAAGAAGAGATTAGAAGAACTAACATTCAACTTTGAATAACGAAAACGTCCTTGAGATCAACGAAGAAGAAAAGAAATTTGAATAATATCAATTAAGAAACAAAGTTCGATAATGAAAAATGACACACTTTTTTTTTTTTGTTTATTTTTTATTTTATTTAGAGGCTTCAAATTTCGCGCTTTTGGGACTGGGGTGTGAGTTTTCGAATTTAAAGAACGAGGAGCGTTTGCTTTTGTGTTGCAGGGTTACTGGGTTACTACTTAGCCTATCATTTAGAGCCACGTGTACAAGTCAGAGGCATATCCTCTCCCCACGATCAGCAGTCAGCACACGCGCCCCAGTTGTCCAATTTGTCTTTTCCTTCTAAAAGAAAATAATTTTTTCCATAAATATTAGAGAATATCTCTAAGGGGTTGTCTCTTACATTTGAGTTAAGACGATTTGAGTGATAATTTTAAATTGAATTTAAATTATAATTTGACTTAAAGTTATAATTTAAATTTATGTTTGAATATGTATATTTTAATTATGATTTGAATTAAGAATCTATTTAAGTTTGTATTTAGGTGGGTCAAAACTTAAATTTATATTTATATAGTATTTTAATAAAAACTCAATAGTAATGAAAAATTTTAATAGGGTATATAGATAGGATTTTATTCATCTTTTCGTTGTGAATGTATAAAAAAAATCATCTCAATCATAATTAAAATGAAAAAATTATAACATTTTTAAAAATAGAAAACATATTGTTCATTAACTTGAGTTCGAGTTTATGAACTCGAGTTGAAGGGAAAACTTGAACTTAAGTTTAGCCCCAAATTCGAGTTTAAACTCAAATTTTACAAAAGAACATGAACTTAAATAAAGTAACGGGCATGTTCTTTTGTTTAAAAAACTCAAAAAAAGACAACTCAAGTTCAACTTTATTCAAGTTCACGTTCTTTTAAGTTTTAACTTTATTTAATTTTACTCAACTTTATTCAAGTTTTAACTTCAACTCAAGTTATAACTCAAATTCAACTCAAAAATTATACTCAAATTATACTCCAAAAGAACAACCCCGTTGTAACTCGGGTTCAAACTTTTCCTGAATTTCGTTGTAAAAGAACAACCCTTAAGGGTCTGTTTAGTTCGCTGATTCGAGTTTTCAATTCGAGTACTGTAGTTAAAAAGTTAGATGTGATTATTTATGAGAGTTTTTTACTATAGTAAAACTCGAATCAGTGAAGTGAACGGGGCCTAAGACTCTTAGGTCTCGTTCATTTCACCGATTTAAGTTTAGAATTCGAGTTTTGCTACAGTAAA